GGATAGAATGGGGGGATAGAATGGGGGGATAGAATGGGTGGGTAGAAAGGGAGGATAGAATGGGGGGATAGAATGGGTGGGTAGAATGGGAGGATAGAATGGGGGGATAGAATGGGGGGATAGAATGGGAGGATAGAATGGGGGGATAGAATGGGGGGATAGAATGGGTGGGTAGAAAGGGAGGATAGAATGGGGGGATAGAATGGGTGGGTAGAATGGGAGGATAGAATGGGGGGATAGAATGGGGGATAGAATGGGAGGATAGAATGGGGGGATAGAATGGGGGGATAGAATGGGTGGGTAGAAAGGGAGGATAGAATGGGGGGATAGAATGGGTGGGTAGAATGGGAGGATAGAATGGGGGATAGAATGGGGGGATAGAATGGGAGGATAGAATGGGAGGATAGAATGGGAGGATAGAATGGGAGGATAGAATGGAAGGATAGAATGGGAGGATAGAATGGGGGGATAGAATGGGAGGATAGAATGGGAAGATAGAATGGGGGGATAGAATGGAAGGATAGAATGGGAGGATAGAATGGGGGGATAGAATGGGAGGATAGAATGGGGGATAGAATGGAAGGATAGAATGGGGGGATAGAATGGAAGGATAGAATGGGAGGATAGAATGGGAGGATAGAATGGGGGGATAGAATGGGAGGATAGAATGGGAAGATAGAATGGGAGGATAGAATGGGAAGATAGAATGGGGGGATAGAATGGAAGGATAGAATGGGAGGATAGAATGGGTGGGTAGAATGGAAGGATAGAATGGGGGGATAGAATGGAAGGATAGAATGGGGGGATAGAATGGGAGGATAGAATGGGTGGGTAGAATGGAAGGATAGAATGGGGGGATAGAATGGGGGGATAGAATGGAAGGATAGAATGGGGGGATAGAATGGGGGGATAGAATGGAAGGATAGAATGGGTGGGTAGAATGGAAGGATAGAATGGGGGGATAGAATGGAAGGATAGAATGGGTGGGTAGAATGGAAGGATAGAATGGGGGGATAGAATGGGGGGATAGAATGGGAGGATAGAATGGGGGGATAGAATGGGGGGATAGAATGAAAGGATAGAATGGGTGGGTAGAATGGAAGGATAGAATGGGGGGATAGAATGGGAGGATAGAATGGGAGGATAGAATGGGAGGATAGAATGGGGGGATAGAATGGAAGGATAGAATGGGGGGATAGACTGGGAGGATAGAATGGGAGGATAGAATGGGAGGATAGAATGGGGGGATAGAATGGGAGGATAGAATGGGGGGATAGAATGGGAGGATAGAATGGGAGGATAGAATGGGGGGATAGAATGGGGGGATAGAATGGAAGGATAGAATGGGGGGATAGAATGGGTGGGTAGAATGGAAGGATAGAATGGGGGGATAGAATGGAAGGATAGAATGGGGGGATAGAATGGAAGGATAGAATGGGGGGATAGAATGGGAGGATAGAATGGGGGGATAGAATGGAAGGATAGAATGGGGGGATAGAATGGAAGGATAGAATGGGGGATAGAATGGGGGGATAGAATGGAAGGATAGAATGGGGGGATAGAATGGAAGGATAGAATGGGTGGGTAGAATGGAAGGATAGAATGGGGGGATAGAATGGGGGGATAGAATGGGGGGATAGAATGGGAGGATAGAATGGAAGGATAGAATGGGAGGATAGAATGGGAGGATAGAATGGGGGGATAGAATGGGAGGATAGAATGGGAGGATAGAATGGGGGGATAGAATGGAAGGATAGAATGGGAGGATAGAATGGGAGGATAGAATGGGAGGATAGAATGGGGGGATAGAATGGGAGGATAGAATGGGGGGATAGAATGGGAGGATAGAATGGGAGGATAGAATGGGGGGATAGAATGGGGGGATAGAATGGGAGGATAGAATGGGAGGATAGAATGGGGGGATAGAATGGGAGGATAGAATGGGGGGATAGAATGGGGGGATAGAATGGGAGGATAGAATGGGAGGATAGAATGGGGGGATAGAATGGGAGGATAGAATGGGGGGATAGAATGGGAGGATAGAATGGGAGGATAGAATGGGAGGATAGAATGGGGGGATAGAATGGGGGGATAGAATGGGAGGATAGAATTTTATACCCACTTGTTCTGCATTACTGTACGATGTCACTCTCCGTATAAAAAAGAGGCATTGTAATTAAAGGAATAAAGTGTTTTGACGTGAGACAAAGCTCTTCCCCACAAGTGCACGATTGGAGTGGGGAGTGGGGGGGGAGGGAGAGAGAACCTGTTTGGGGGGGCAGAAGTGGCGTATACCCTGAATGCGCGTACGGGGAATGGGGGAAGGGGGGGAGGGGGAGGGCAGGCGTAAAACGTTCGCTCTCTTCGGCTGCATGACTGAGGGAACCAAAGCAGCTTGAGAATTGAGTTGATAGCTGGTGAGATGTCTTTGCAGCCTGAGAACTAACTGGGTTGTTTGCTGGTGAGATGACTTTGCAGCGACATTGTAAATCTGCGTCGG